AGATTTTTTGTTTTGTTTTGTTTGCCAATCAACAGGGGGGGGGGGGCATGGCCCCTTGTGCCCCCCCTTAGCTACGCCAGTGGCCTGTGCTGATATTGAACAAGTAACCTATGTGTGAAGCACATGACAATCTGGACCACATTGCCTTCCCCTTTCTACATTCTGGTCGGGGACACTTAGTAACTGCGAAAACCAGATCTAAAGCTACCGCAACTATCATAGAGAAACACACACAACTCCACTTCACGGAGCAATGTAATCGAAAAACGTGTAGGCAGCAGTGAGTACCTGTGCCTACAAGGTGGATGATTTACTTCGCTTCATACGCACTGATTGGTGTTGTAGTCATTTAGTCCTGGTGTTGTCATAAAAACGTCGACGAACACAATAAAAAGTTGACAATGTAAAAGCACGATACAGCTAAACGATGTTCGACTGCTTGTACGTACATTTGCAATTGCGGTCATCAGAGTATGCGACAACGAGAGCGTTTTTGCTATACACTGATGAACAATGAACGTCACTGAAAGCCACTGGTTTTAAAAGCAGATAACTTGCTATGCTAAAAATATGAAAAATATTATATTATATATATATATATATATTTATATGTATATATACCTGTATATATAGAAAACTAGTGGCTGAACGTTGTTGACCGTCATCTTGCCTAGTCACACCGGATTCTGATGACCAAATATACCAGCAGGAACCAAAATGTCCGAAGTTTGAAGAAGTAAATATTTATGTCATCACGTGGACCACAGATAATAGGAACATAACAGAATACAGGAAATTGTCATAAATAACTTGAAACAAAGCTGCTTGCATGAAAACAGCGTGTGGAACTATAAACCCCCCATAGCAACGTGTAGAATAAATAACGTGACTATATTCACACAACATAAATAACATAAATATGAACATGGCTAAACAAAGAGATGAACCTATATAATATCTTACAGGGCAAACTTTGATTGGACTCACTAACTACTACTGACCGGAGCTCCGATCAATATTGCTATGTCACACACAGATGGGCGCTATTCACTAATAGTAATAGTGTATTCGAATATACGAAAATAGAATACACTAGAGTATAAGTGTATTCGAGCCACAAGACTCGTGGCCATGATCACACACAGGCTGGCTTTGCAACATCGGATAACATAATCTATAGCGTAGCAACTACGAAAACTAGTGGGTTGTGAGTATTTGTGCTTCTCATCACCTCACAACTTGGCAAAAAATCAAATCAATCGGCTGCACAACACCGAAACCCGTTCGCTAAGTGCGCTATTCGTTTACGTCGTAAAACCGAGGCGTGCTTGTGATAAAAGGACACCTAGAAAAACGGG